GAAACAAAGGAATAGCCAATTTTGACATTTATGAGGCATTTCAAGGCAAACAGAAGTGGATTGGATTTCTGATTAAATTGGGCCTTTATTGTATTATTAAGTTATGTATATCTTTATTTATTTTATTTATTTATTTGATTTGCCAATTGTTTACAAGATAATAAGTATAAGTGTATACATAGTTGTGAATACATGAAATGGGTACATATAAGAAAGATAAAAGAAGAATAAGAGAAACAATAGGACAGGGACGGTAGGCACGTTGGTGCGCTTATGCACGCCCCCTACAGACCTCTTAGGAAAGGGGTGAGGTCAATAGTAGACAGTCTAAGGTTAAAGTTTTTGGGGTTTGGGGAAGAAACTACAGAGTCGGGTAGAGTATTCCAGACATTGACCACTCTGTTGCTGAAGTCGTATTTCCTGCAATCAAGTTTGGTGCGGTTAACCTTGAGTTTGAATCTATTGTGTGCTGTTGTGTTGTTATGGTTGAAGCTGAAGTATTCATTGACAGGTAAGTCATTGCAATGTATGATTTTATATACCATGCTTAAATCAGACCGAAGACGGCGTAATTCAAGGTTTTCTAGTTCTAGAATTTCAAGTCTGGTGGCATAAGGTATTCTACAACGAGGAGTGGAGAACTCTTCTTGTGAAATATTTCTGGACTTTCTCAATTGTGCTAATATCAGATACGTAATGTGGGTTCCAGACTGATGAACTGTATTCGAGTATTGGTCTAGCAAATGTTTTGTATGCTCTGGTTAGTAGTGTGATATTACCAGAGAAAAAGCTACGTAGGATTAGGTTAACAACTCTTAATGCCTTTTTGGCTATGTAGTTGCAGTGGGTTCTAGCACTTAGATCATTAGAGGTGAGTATTCCAAGGTCCTTTACAGAGCATGGGTCATCAACAAGATCTTGACTATTCAGCTTGTATTTTATTTTCTGATTTTTTTTGCCAATATGTAAGACAGAGCATTTATTTGTTGAGATTTGAAGTTGCCATTTGTTTGACCATTCTGATACATAGTCAAGATCTTTTTGTAGGGTAGCAGTATTGTCTGTGGTATTGAACAACTTTACATCATCAGCGAAAAGAACGCAATTGCTCTTAATATGATCACAGAGGTCAATTATGTAGAGTATGAAGAGACTTGGTCCTAGAACACTGCCTTGGGGGACACCACTATTGACAGGTACAGAATTTGATAGGACGCTCCCAATTTTGACCATTTGTTGTCTGTTTGCCAGGAATGCTTCTATCCAGTTATTCAGTTGTCCAGAGATACCATAGGATTTTATTTTTAGGAGTAGTTTGTCGTGTACCACTGAATCAAAGGCTTTACAGAAGTCTATGTACATTGCGTTTTAAAAGAAAGAAGCAGGCCAGCTTTGGAAAACTTTTTTTAAAACTCTTCTAATACTAAAACATGATCCCAAATTGGTTCAAAAACCATTGATAGAAAAAGTCAGAATCAAAGGAGCAAGTTTCCTAGGTCAAGGATAATGCCTTGCTTGCTTCTATGGAGAGAAAGCACTAATTTTAATGCGTCTGGGCAACTGAAGGATGATAAATATAAACCTAGATTTGGACAGGGTAGGAAAAAACAGGAAAAGTGGTAGAATGGTTTTATTTTTTATCTTATTTTCAGGAGTGAAATATAACTATCTTCAGTGATTGCGCAGTAAAAAGACAGAAAAAGACTGTATGGTGTTTTTTTTAAAAAAAATAAGTAGTGAACTTTTTCTAAAAAGAAAAAAGAAAAGAAAAATATGATCCATACAATATCAATGTAAAATTTATTTAAATCTTAAAGTTTTTAAGGATACTTATAATATTGCTCCAAGTTATCTACAGACATTTCAAAATTTGTTAACAAACACATATCTTCAGTAGTGAGAAAATTAGTTTATTTTAAACTGCATAACATTAATTCTTTGCCAAGCTCCAGGCTTGATAAAGTCAAAGACCTTCATAAAATATAAAATTCCATCTTTTAGGAGTATGATTTAATACCACATTTGCATCTTTAGCTATTAATTTTTCCCAGGATTAGATTAACATATGCTTTGGTTGACAAGACTAAATAATGTAAGTCAGCCTTCAAAGAGCCAGGACAAGAAATTACATTTTCATCATTTTCAATCTATTTTCATATTGAAAGTTTTAACTGTCAAAGTTTATCAGTTATCTTACTTGACTACTGATTTTCTTGATAGAAAATTTACTTCTTAGCTCAATTAAGCAATAGCTATACATTTCCTAAAGTAAGGGAGCTGTATTTTGGGACAAACACTTCAAAGTTGCCCATCCAGATACAACAGAATATTTTGATCTTAGCAGATTTAGATTCCAGAAAAAAACCCTACATCAAACAAGAACCACATACTTAAAATGAATCACTTTATTTTGAATCAGTGTGCATATATATGACTGTGGTTGTATTTCTATAGCAATTTAGGTATAAAGACTCAGCTTTTGGTGATGGCATGGCTATGTCCGTATACTTTTATTTACAACAAGAAAGTCTGTAATTCCATTTTTTAGGATGCATTTTCAGCTTGCAAGCATTTCTTAAGGGTTTTAAATCCAAATGTGTATAGGACATGTCCAACTGCTCAGTAGCAATATGATCAGAGGTGGTATTCAGCAGGTTCTGACCAGTTCTGGAGGACTGGTAGCGAAAATTTTGAGTAGTTTGGAGAACCAGCAAATACCACCTCTGCCTGGCCCAGCCACCATCTATTCTCTGCCTCCCAAGTCCCAGATGATTGGTTGGGTCTTCTTTTGTTGCCCTGCACAGGAGAACGGAGCTGGAAAGCAGGTTAGTGGGATGGCGAGGGACTGGAATTTTGCAGTAACCTTCCCCCAGGAGTGGGGAGGGAATGTGGATTTTGCAGTATCCTTTTCCTGCCATGGCCACCAAGCCATGGCCACCAAGCCACACCATGGCCACCAAGCCACGCCGACAGAGCCAGTAGTAAAAAAAAATTGAATCCCACCACTGAATATGATCTAAGATATGTGAAAGAAAGAGAAAAAAAACAAAGTGATAAAATAAAACATCAAAATAAAATAAAAGCAATATAAGAAAAAATATGGATTTGCTGTTGGAAAATGTGCAGGAAGGTATGATATTTTATATGCTGTTGGAAAGATACGTAGGAACAAGAACCCATTTTTTCCATTTGGATCAGAAGATTATGCAATCTTTGTTGTTGATATAAATTTTTATGATTGGAATGTAGTATTTACCTGAGGCATCATGAGTTGTTGTAACTACTTGGGTTTTAGTCATTGTATACTACACAGAGTTGCTACTGTATAAACTAATTAAATAAACTACAAACAAGACAGCTCATCCTTCATAAGAGGAATGAGAAAGGAGAAAAGGTACTGTACTTGGCTTCAGGACCAAATATTTTTTTCAGGATTCATTTGCAACATCAAAGCACAGACCTAAGAAATATAATTAAATATAATTGGTTAAAGAAGGATTACCAATGGAGCTGAAGGGAACAGATCTAAGGAAAGCACAATCTGAAATCAGAGATCCTTGATGCTCGCTGAGCTTGGTTGTTGTTGTTTTTTCCATTACCCAAACTAGAAAACATCATCAGTGTTTCAGTCCCGAGCTACAAATATTTATACTCTATTGGTATTATCTGAAATAAATTGTTTGGGAGACAGTGTGAAAATCATGCTGGTAGTTGGGGTAGTTGAGTTGCTATTTTGTCATGAAGTTCTACTCATGTTCTAGCCAAGCAGAATTGGATAGTTTAAGCACAATTTGACAAAACAGCTGCACAATTCAAGAATCCAAGAAACAAGAAGAAAAGCATGAGGCATTTGTTTCTGGCTATAAGGAGTTAGAATAAAAGTTAGAGAGAAATAATGTAATTGAATAATGGCTTATTTGAATAGCTGAGATTATTTTGCTGGGATTTATTTTCTAGGCTCATTGAATGCAACTTCAGCTTTACAATTTTTAAAGATTTCATGTCTATAGTTCTATTTTCTTTTTGTTAATTTTTTAAAAATAACATAATACTTTCTCCATTACTACTTTTTTATTCTTATCATCCCCATACAAATATATAAAATACATATTCCAGCATTTGTTCTCTTCAGTTTTCTCCCATATTTTTCATTCAATTCATTGCTAGAGATGCATTGTTAGCCATTTCCCCCCTTTCCTTACTATTTTTGTTTCAATTTGAGCTAATTTAATTTGCTTTTGTGTCAGCTTCAGCTTCTTTCACTTTATAATTTTTCATTAATACCAGTGTATATTCCCATGTTTCAGTAGCATTCTATAAAATAATTCTTTCATTCTTTTCCAATGAGGGATTCTTTCATTATCTGGTTTTCAAAAATATATGTTTTGAAATGTTAACATTATGGCCATGTGAATAAGATTGCATAAACTGTTAAGGTCTCCAGCTTTATTGCCACCAGGTCATTTTGCCTCTAGTCTCTGCTTCCATACATTAGGCATATGTCTGAGGATTTAGCTAGACTGCATCTATCGAGCTTGCTTACAAAATTTGCAACATGTTGTCAATTTATGCCCATCTGTATAGGGCATTTGATATCGGCAACTGTTTTATATCTAAGCATTTCATTCAGTTGGAACTCTGATTGCATGATTGTGCTAACAGCATGGAAAGCCTATAGGAGAGCTGGAACTTAACATTTGGATGACACTCTCCTGGCCTCATAATCAAACAATTTTGTCTGAAGTGGAGTGACAGAAAATATATAAGGATTATCTCAAATTCAGTCCACATTCTATTCACATACAAGCAGACTCATCACCAAGAACAAAGTAGGTAAAAAAAATAGAGAATACTTCTCAATCAATATAGGAAAGTTTTATGAATAGATAGTGCTGAAGACCTTTATGGACTAAACACCACAGCTTTTGATTTGATTCAACCAGGACAACTGGCTCCGATATAGCTTGGCATTTTTCAGCAGGTTTTTCATGGATAGCAGGTGTTAGAGTAAGCTGTCTCTGAACTTAGCTGAGTACTCTTATACTTTCTTGCCATGATTTTTATTTTGGATGCCAGTATTCTATGTGACTGATTAGAAGAATTTCTGTGGTTTTTGTTGAGGGTAAGGATATGAAGAATGAACCTGATTGTTGTTGCTGCATTATTAACGCTGGAGCATGGCAGTACACTGTCTAATTCTTGAGGTGTTTCCTGTTCTTATTTCAATCTTTTTCCTCATCTAAAGATGGTTCCTGAAGCAAAAAATAATATTTGATATATGTTCTAGCAATCCCTTTTCATTGATTATTTGTGTGCATGTGTGTGTGGAATCACCTTTTGTCCATTAGGAAAGAAAAAACTTAAAAATCATGCAACCAAACATTAACACAAATTTCAGGCTTGGGAGTATGCAATCAACAACTGCCTATACCTAATGTGCCATATTTCAGGGGCTAATATCTTGGTTTTAAATTATACCATGCTATCTACAGTATTGAAAGGTCTTCTATAGAAGGCAGGAAAGAGGAAGTATTCCTACTTGGTGTTCATTGATCTATTTTTTCACAACTGAAAAGTTCAAAGAAATCCTCCAGGAGTAATCAAGTCAAGTTATGAAGATACATTGAAGAGAACTCCGGAGAAACTGAAAGGAACAGCTATTTGATCCTATTATGAATCTTCATAATGAATCCATACAGACATACTGTATTCTGTGAGCTATATTGCAAATGGAAAGGGAAATAAAAAGCTATCTAAAGAACCAAAAAAAAAAAAATAGAAAACTAATTTTGATGTGCTAATCAGACCGGAAAAGAGCAAAACTCCTGTGACAGCATGGATAGTTGATTTCTAAATGTTGGTTTCACTGGATATCATTATAATTCCTTCTTTGGGGTATTAAAGGAACAGAAAACATGATAATTGTAATAAACATGTATAAAATCATTAGATGCTTAATGACAGCACAGAACAAATACTGACAATGAACAGCATTAATGTTAAGTTTCACCCAGCAAATTTCCTTCTAAATAATATTGGGTATGAATTGCATTCAATGTTATAATGTTCCATGATGGAAAAATTGCATGTAAAGAGATTATTCCACATGTTAAACAAAAATATGTATTGCTCATTATCTGGAATTGCAGCAGGTGGCAAGACCTGACCAACCTTGCCTAAGCTTGAAAACTAAGCAGGGTCAGGTTTAGTATTTGGATAGAAAACCAACTGAGAATTCAAGGGTTGTAGGCTAGAGAAAGAAGTTGAAAAAAAAAATCCCAGAAGAAGTCAGCAGCAAATTGTTTCTGTGCTGTTGCCAGGAAAACTGCATGCAAGTGTCAATGTAATCACCAGGAGTCAAGTTCAATTTGAAGGCATCTTTACTTTTTATCAATAGTTGAAAAGTTACTATTATCCAGTTTTAATTACTTGCAGTTCATAGACTCTGGAAAACCTTTGTGTTGAATATATAAAATGTACATAAAAGAAGCTTGTCTATATATAAAAAATAGCTGTAATTGTATAAAAATTGTAATTCTTAGATAAATAGATAATAAATTAATCACATTAATTTAACTTTATAGTTAAGGTAAATGAAATCATGTTTTTATTCTAAATTCACCCAGTACTTTCCTCTTTGATCTGACCACGTATTAAAAATGTTGCCCAGCCACATCAATAGTCTGGTGTGATGCTTATCCACAAAATGTGCTTACCATTGAGTTATAAGAACTAAACTTATATATTTTCATGTCCATAAAGCTTATATACAGAAAAGAAAAATCTGCTATTGGTCCAATACATTGTTTAAATGTAAAAACTCCATAGGTTCACAATGAAAAATAACTCTATCCTCTATAAATTGGACTAATTCCTATGAAAATCACAAATTGTCCAAGTTACTTCTATATCCTATGGTAAAATTTTATTTGCTTGTTCTGAATAATTTATGAATAGATCCATTAATATGCTCTTTTATTGTAATTTCATTAAAATTTAACAAAACCCTTGTTCACTTTGGAGCTTAAACATTTGCTTTTGAAATTAAAATGCTTAGTGCTCTTTATACACCCGCATTCCTTCATCTGCAAGAAATATTTTTATAAGGCATAGTCACAGTTGTACTTCTGCTGGATGTTACAAATATAAGTAGAAGAAATATTAAGATCAGGCTTTAAGATGGTCAAATGAATTTGTGGTCATTACTTTCAAAGGAATGAGCAAAACAAAATTTTATAAATTTCTGCCTAACTTTAAAACATTCTGTTTTATCACATTGCCAATAATGTTCATATTTGATTTTTTTTATTGATATGGATATTGTTATTTAAGAAAGTTAAGATACTTAAGAGAAAATGATATAGAGATATTCACTATGGATTAATTTCCTTAACAAATTAATCATGCATGGTCACTTAGAAATGAATTCAAATGAATCAGTCTTAATACAGTATACATAGTATATTATAGTTTATATATAACCCATGTTGTTTTTAGCAATATCATAGTTCATGCATGTTATTGTCATAGACTTTTACTACCAATATTTGGCACTGTAGACTTGCATATGCTACTGTAAATGTTTGCAGCTATTTGTGGTTAACTGGGCTACTGTGTTTTTGTGATTGTCTTAAAAGCGAGAAAGCTGAAGCATTAACTTGGTTCTTTTTTCTGAAGTATGGTCATCCATTGGGAAAATATGTCTGAGGCCAATGAGGTATGTAACTTGCTTTCATAGATGACAAGCCTGCAGCCAGCACTCACTTTCCTTTTGTATCAGCCAACCGCTGTCCTAGTTTGACTCAATCCAACCTGATAAAACAATATTTGTGATAATTAAAATAATGGCAGTTAAACAAAGCAGGTTATGTCTATCTTGTTCATAAAATTATCTCTTTCAGAAGGTTAACAGGATTAAATTAATGATTTTGAATCTTTGGTTCCCTGGCAACTGAATAAATATCTCCATTTTAATACCAGTCTATATCAAAATTCCTGTTGAATAGACTGTTCTGTAATATATTAATGACGCAGAACTAAAAATAAAAGGAAATCCAGGCATGGTGGTGGGGAAAGCACATTATCTCCTCTTAACTACTATCTAGGAATGAAGTGATTCAATGAATTGAATCACTCTAAACCCATTTTCAAACATTTTTGAAATGTCAAGAAAACAATTATTTGCTTTTACATATCCTCAGAGTAGAATATTGGGATGTTCCTTATAGGTTGTTTAAATGCAGCCTGGTGTTTTTATTCATGCTAGAAGTTAACCCTGAGAAAATATTTACTGGCATAACTGAATAGTACTTAAAGCAAATATTAAAACAGTCTCAAATGTATTGCAAGCTCATGTATTTAATACGATCTCATTGAGTTAAAGTAAAATGGTTATTGCTTCCTGTAAACCTATATCCACTTTTTCTTCTCTGTCCAAAGTATCAGCTATAAAGCAGGCAGTTGGAAGTAGGTTGGTAATAGAAAGAATATCAAACATTCATTACTACTAATAGAAATATGAAAAAGGGGCCATTTCTATATCACTAATATTCTTGCAAACAAATACATAATCATAAGGCTCTGTGATTGGGCTTGCATTTGTATTTAAGACAATGTTGCCCTCGTCAGCTCAAAGTAATGTAGTTTAAAATGGGAAGTACATTTGCTAAGATATAGAGAAAGATTTTTAATTATTCTTTTTTTCCTAAGAGTGGAAATAACTAAAATTCAGGGGTTCCTCACTCACTTTCAAGCTATCCCATCTATAATCAAAGACAAAGTATCATCCAGGCCAGAGCTACCCAAAACCCAGAGCCATTCTATCTTGCCAGGTGCTGCATCTTACAGAAGTCTTCACTCCAGTCCACTCTTTGAGCAGGAGCCGGAGCTTTCCCTGATTGGCTGATTTCGTTTGACAGCTGATTATAAAAGGAGCTGTCAAATGGAATCAGCTGTCTCTGTCAGCCGGCTGCCTTGTTAGCTTACCGCAAGCTGCGGCTGCTTTACTTTGTTTCAATGAAAGTTGTTAGCTTTCATTCTCACCTCTGCCTCTTCATTCCTGCATGCCAATTACAAAACCAGGGTTGAGTTGAAACTATTTCTTCTACATCCAGACACTTGAAGCTTCCAGGCACTCACCCAGTATTGCCACAACATCACCTATCTGGTGGGGATGAAGTTATACAATTGGGACACATACAATTGGACAATACCTGATGCTATACCAATGGATGATCTCCCCCAGTACATTTTTTGTGTAATTTTTCATGTAAATTTTCAAAAGGAGAAGTGAAGGGCTAGAACCCTGATGCACCCTACATTGCATGACCCTAGGACTCTACATTAACAAACCAGGAGGAACATGGGTCCAGAACCCACGTGGTTCTTGTATACTTCCTTAAAAGCAACTTATTCAAGAACTTCTCAGAAATTAGGGCTAGCCTATCACTTCTGAAGGGTCTGACCAGCCAGGGTCCAGTTAAGCAGATGCTGGTCATCATCCTCACAACTTCTCTGCAAGAGTTCTCCCAGATCCTCCTTCTTTAGGAAAAATCTGGTTACCCAAATAGAGCAGCTAGTCAGCTACCTGAATGTACAAGTGTGCAGGTCCAGTTACTTTTATCATCGCAGAGTAAGTCTTAATATAGGCTTTCATCTCTACCAGATATCGGTCACCCACAGTCTTGGTATTTCTCATGTCACTACATTTCTCTGATCCACTCAGAAAACCATGGGGCTTTATGAAATCCATGTACACAGACAGTCAACATAGGTAGGATTCAAGACCTGTCACCTGGTCATTCCAAGCTGTGATAAGACCCTGTGATGACCCACTGAATTATGAAACAGAGTTTTTGGGAAAATCCCAAACTCTCTCAGAAATAACACCAGGCCTATCTGGGCTGTGAAGATCAACTAGGCTCCACTTCCCTGTGGCAGGCAGTTACTGTAAAGAACTCTAGAGCCAAGATAGAGGATAGATACCTCAGGTCCATGGTAGAGGACCAATGTCCCCCAAAGCCAGATCACTGTCACCACTGTTCAAAGGCAAACATCAGATATAATGTGTGATGTAACCTTATGTAAAGGATAATTCAAGAACAGTAAATGCAAAAATAAGAGGAAGATTGTTTCTTAGATATGCTGTGACAGTGTATATCTAAGAACTCACTAGTAGCAAGATTTTGGAAGTGCATTGTGACTTTATATACATCAGGGTGTTTGCAGACCACATTTTTTCCATTTTCTCTTT